GGAGTGAATGCTGCAAGTCACTGACTGGATGCAATCTGCTGGGTTTCCTTAGACAGAAAAACTTTTTATCCAATTTGAATAAATAACTGAATCTGACTGCACTGTTCAATGGTTACGATTAATTGGACTGTACTGTTGTGAAGTGCCTTGAGACGACATGTGTTGTGAATTGGCGCTATACAAATAAAACTGAATTGAATTGAATATATAGGATTTGAACATTTTACTAATTATTTATCTCGATAAATCATTAAAATACTTGACCACCAAGACAAATAAGCTGATATGATCAGTTTTAGGTAGAAAATGGACATGAACCCCCGAACAATAACCCAAAAAATAAATGATTTGCTTAAACAAACTGAGCCTCTACTTCAGGAGAATGACCACCTGTATTTCTGCTTTCGTTTCTCACTGACTGACATTAAGTTAGACTGAACCTTCCACATTTTCAGTCAGTTAGGATTACCAACATGACTTCTATTTACTAAAGTTGATATATATTTTCTAAGTATTTGGTAGAACTGCCTTTCAAACTGCATAACTTTGATCAAAAAACTTCTCACAAGGGTTTGTGGGATTTTTGGGCCATTCCTCCTGACAGAACTGGTGAAACCGGGCCAGGTTTATTTTCACACACCGTTTTTAGCTGAGTGAAATAAATATAAACTGGGAAATTCCTGGGGAAATGAGGGCTTTCTCTACAAACAGAACGTTCAGCTGTGTTTTTAGGTGAAAGTATGATGATACAGCGGTTTTTGGTGAATCATGTTGCCATGGGAGCTTAAAACAAGCTGCATGTTTTTATACATAATGTGTGGGTGCAGCCTACTGTTCGGGCCGCATTAATGTAGACAGGAGAATAAATAAATAAAGAGTCTAAAATTGTGGTGGATACTAATAGATGCGTCCATTCATTGCCAATACATAGCTTGACTTAAATTTATTTTTCCTTAATTTACGCAAAACCAAGTTTATAATATTTAGTAATCAGAAAATCAATGAGCAAGTAAAATAAATATAAATATAAAAATAGAAATGATGCTAAAATTAAAAGAGTCTAATATTAATAAATGGTCATAAACTAAGCTGAAGGTCAAATGTTAAAAATATCTAAACAAAAAAAGTTAAAACTATTTCAATATTACACAAAATACATTTTAAATCAAAATCCGCTCCACGTTTTCTATTGTTCCCTCATAGTTTAATAACTTACATGCTGAAATAAAGTATAAAACTAACATTCTACCAATCTGTTACAAAAGAGTGATAAGAATGATAAAACAATGGAAACCTCTTTCTAATCTAATGTTAGAAAATGTGTTTGATGCTATTTACACTAATATAGACCCTGCAGACACTGAGCACTGTCACTTCAAGCAGAGAATATGGATAAAACACTAGCAAAAGAGTTTTAGCTTGAAGTTCATATTACAAACATAGATGTAGACATAAATATACAATCGCAACCAAAATCTTCCTTCAGAAGTAGGAGCAAAATTGTCTCCAACAACACGTTTATTTAACAACCTTACAATAATGGTTGTAGGTGCAAACAAGAATGTTTTTTGCTCAAACAACTAAGCTAAACACATCCTACATAAATAGCTAAATCAAAATGTAATTTTCTGTTTTTTCATCAGATGTTTTTAATATCTGGTAGTATGAAATGCTGCACAAAAGCCTCAAAGAATCTGCTGCACCCTGGTGAGAGGAAATGTTCCAAATTCACAAAATAAAACTAAAAAGGAGCTAAACTTCCTGCAGCTCCAAGTCACCACGGGCAAGCAAACACACACGTATACAAAGAGACCGTTGGAGCCGAAGGGAGCGCGGGGGCCCAGGGAGACAGATTGTCTTTTAATTGGTTGAAAACTGCAGAGCTTTGAAAGAGCTGAAGGGGAGGACACACACACACACAGAAAAACACACAATGTCCTCTGTGATAGTAAGGAGACGTAGCCAGTCCCTGCTGACTGACTGGCATAATGAGCTGAACTTGAGCCAACACAGGGAAATGTGTGTCTTAGTGGGCTTCTTTTGTGCTGAATGTTGGTTGGTAACCCGCTGATACCATCAAAATGAAAGACAGAACAATGGCTCAGAGATTCAGGGTCAGGGTAAGGTATTAAAAATGTCTGTTGATTATATTCTGCAGCAACATCACTAAATCAGCCAAAGAAAACTTTATGAACGGCTGACGCTTATCTTACTTGTCCTCAGATGTTAGCCAGATATATATTTATTTTACCTATGCAGAGTATCGAGTTTTTCAATTTATTTTAACTAGAAATTCACTTCATTTCATTTCACTTCAATTTAATTTAACTTTAGGTTTGGTTTTATACTTATTTAATCTTTGGCAGTGGAGGTGAGGCAGAAACCTGAACTTATACAGCGCCTTTCCAATCATACCGACCAATCAAAGCACTTTACACTAGAGCCATATTCACCCAATCGCACTCAGAAACATTCATTCACCCACAAGTAGATCAGTAGGCAACTTGAAGTTAAGGGACTTGCCCAGGGGCACATCAACATGTGGCAGGAAGCAGGTGCGTAGTTAGACCTAGGCTTCCGGGGCGGAAGCCCCGGATGTTTTCTGAATAGCCCCGGACTTCTTGATAGAAGAAATTTAGAAGTATTAAAAAGATGCAGCCACAAAATGGTATTGTACTTCACATTGTTATTTAAAAACAATCAGACATTTTCAATTGTGTTCCATATAATCACGTCCCGCTCCACCTAACCTGACAATGAGTTATTTGCCACTATGCGCAGAGCCAGAGATGGACTCCATTCTGGAGAAGTCCAGAACAGCAGTTCACTCCAGGTCGACCTGCCTCCTTCATTACCTGAAAAGTTACACTGAGCGGCTCAAACAGGGCTCATTTCAGAGCAACCGTGGAGCCAACCAGAGAGAGGGAGGCTGGTGGGTGTGTGTTCAGGAACGGGTGGAAGCAGAGCAGTATAACCCATACGAAGATAGCGGTAAAACCTGAATGCTGACTCAGGATGGGCTGATTGTAAGTTACAGCTAATCACTGATTCACCCAGCAAGACATGAGGTGGAGGTTCACTCTAATGAGCATCATCAGGGTCATGATGAGGGACTTTCACCTGAGCTACAGGTAAAGTTAAATGATCTGTGATAGAAAACAGTAGCAACCTTCTCTGTGAGCTTCTAGCGGGATTTGAATCATGATGTGAAAATATCTGGTCCTTCAGTCAAAATAAAAGCANTTCACTCTAATGAGCATCATCAGGGTCATGATGAGGGACTTTCACCTGAGCTACAGGTGAAGTTAAATGATCTGTGATAAAAAACAGTAGCAACCTTCTCTGTGAGCTTCTAGCCGGATTTACATCATAATGTGAAAATATCTGGTCCTTTACTTCAGTCAAAAAAAAGCATTTAATCCTAACGTAGCTGAATACAATAAAAGGTCCTTCAGATCAACACATTACATCTCATGGCTGCAGCCAGTCTTATAGTCCAGTTCTACATGTAGACAGAACCAGGTGTTGCTCAATAAACCAGGAAAATATCTCTTGGTTCCAGTAAGACGTAGTAGAAAGTAAGCCTCCCTCTTCTCTTTCATATCTTTTGTCCTGATTCTAAACATGCAGCTCTGGGTTTAAAGATGCAGTATAATTAAGAAATAAATCATAGCAATTAATCACAAGTGGACCATTGAGTTAACTATAATAGTTAACCATTTTATTTTTCTGAATTACTCATGTAATATTATATAAACTAAACTAATTAAACAAGGATACAGTTTTACTGAAGGTGAGACATACATACCATATGTATACAGTTATTAATAACTGTAATATTAGTACTAATAAGGTCCAGGATGAGGCTCTATGCTATATTTTAAACACCACAACGTTACAACCTTTCCTCTCAAAGTGTTTAATAGTAAGAACTGCACTAATGTCTCACATGCAGAACAAAAAACTGTGTTGAAAAATGTTTCTTTTATTATTTTTAGCAGGACAAATCTCTTCAGAAGAGGAATGAAGGGCTGAAAAGATGGCGGTAAAAGAGAACAGGTTCTTAAAAGAGGGAAGAATTTTAATAAAATGTTTTGAAAGCTGTTGGCATAATAAAATAAAAGTGCTTTAGGATTTTACCATTTGACTAAGATTTAGGAAAATCAACTTCATACACTTTCCTTTTTTGAAATATAAGAATAAAGACAACAGAGCCTCAGGAGTGAAACACTTTGATGAGAATATAACGTTTAAAAATGTAATTTATGTAGATGACAAATGAAGCACATTTATCTGGCCCAAAGTAAACATCTCTGAGTTTAAGAAAAACGTTTGTCAGCAAAAATTCAGATTAAGTTCTTTTCTAAAAACCTCAAAATGTGTCATTATTTGCTTCATCAAAATGGTTTTTCATCAGGACTAAACTCTGATTCTCCTTGTTCTTCATTCAGTTTCTAACAAAAATAAAAAGTAAAATTATTGCAAACCTTTTTTGTTTGATTCACAATAATTTACATTCAGTCTAAAACCAGCCGAGACAGAGAACTGGTACAATATGTCCTATATTATTTTAATTTTAAATTACCTATAAATTGTCTTATTGAAATCTAAATATTTTGGATTTGGGCTAAAGCCCCCAATGTTTTGAGACCCTAAAAACGCCCCTGGCAGGAAGAAGCTGGGATTGAACCCACAACTTTCACATTGCAAGATGACTACTCTTCCCACTAAGCCACATTCCCCTTTAATAATATTTCTTGAATATAAACTGAAGCGTCTTTTTGGATGTTGCAACATACGCTAGAAATATAAGTGCATCAAGAGCGCTTAAAGTTTGTTTTCGACGTCACAATAATTGATGTTTCAAATCACTCAGCAGCGCCCTCTAGTCCTGCAGCTCTAAGGACTGGTTTTTATTTTATTTTATTTTATTTATTTTATTTTTTGGAACATATTCCTTTTAAAAGTAGACTGGTGGTATTATCCTTTTCTTTTTTTTACCATCTACCATCGATTGCCAGCTGTGCTACTATTTATTTGCATGTTAATTTAATTTGACTAAAGAATTGATTGGGTGATTAAATAGTTCAATTAAAAGACCAATCAATACCGCCATGCTGTTTAGCATGTTAAAGGGCTCTGCCATAAGTTAAAGTGAAGCTTGGACACCTAATAATCATAAATAATACATGCATGCATTCTGTACCTTTCACATACATTGTATGTTCTTGGAATGGTCCTACTTTAATTGAGCTTTAATTGGACTAGAAATAAAAGCTCAACTTGTGTTCAGATTTATCATGAGGTATGATGATAGATGACCCAACAACAAGAATTTTGAAAAAGTCACATAAAGAACTAGGCAGGTGTTTGAGGCAAGGCTTAATGTATGAATATTTTATAAGGAATCCAAAAAAATTGCATTCTCAAACCTACAGTACATTCAACAAACTGGGGTAAATGGCATTTGAGAAAGGAATCGAGAAGCTGAAGCAAGTCATATTGTCAGAGGACTAAAGAAGGATTCATCTAAAGAAAACATTTTCAAAATAAAACACCAAAGGCAAAACTAAAAGTTTAACAGAAGAAATCTACATTGGGAAATATTTACAATCCATCAAATCCGAAACTAAATGTTAAAATCTGGGTTAGACGGGGCTACACCCTGGACAGGTCGCCAGTCCATCATAGGGCAACACAGAGACACACAGGACAAACAACCATGCATGCTCAATTTAGAGAGACCAGTTAACCTAACAGTCATGTTTTTGGATTGTGAGAGGAATCCTGAGTACCAAGAGAGAACATCTGCTGGGAGAACATCTGATCTCCATGTAGAAAGAGCAGGCATGGATTCAAACCCAGGACCTTCTTGCTGCAAGGCATGCATGCTAACAACTGCTCCACTGTGCAGCCTGGGGATGGAGTCAGGTAGGCATAAATAACGTTTAATTCCTGCAGCGTTTAAACAGCCTCAGTAAAAGTCTGACAAGACAGCATCAATATGAAGATCAATGACGAATACTTGTCAAGAAGATGTCCAACACACCAAACACAGCCATGTTAATGTCACACCCAGCTCTAAAAGGTTATAGGATTGTGTGACATATCCTTGATAATTAGGTTAATGACATTTCTTGAAACATCTCGAAACCATGAACCGAACCAGGATGCATCCTTTGTAAGCATCAGCTAAACATGTGCATGTGTTACCTTTTGATGGTGCGAAGCAGAGTGGATCTTGCTTCATTGTGGAAGGTGATGATGATAGATGTTGGAGAAAGATCTGAGTCGTAGTGAAGAGAGGTGCACCTGCCAGGGGAGAGAATAAAGAACATGACATCTGATCTGTTGAAGACCTGTAAAGAGTGTGTCATGTGCTACAGCTGTAACAGGTCACATAAAGATCAATGAGTTACTGTTCTGAAATCTGAGTTCGACAAATGAGCCAAGCCTGTTAATGCATCTGAGAAAAGTGTAGAACATCACCAAAGGTAAAACATTGTAAAAATGAGTTTATGTTTTAGATTCATTCATTTTTATGTGAATTACAGAAAAGTGTCAGTTACCATCATTATTAATGAGATGCTTTTTTATTTTATAGAACAGATTGGTGTGAAATAATTTTTCTCTTTTAGGTTTGAAATATTTCACAGTGAACATAACTGCTGCACACACACACACACACACACACACACACACACACACACACACACACACATGGTAACCAAGCGATCAGACCTGTTGTTAATGAATTATAGATGATCCCCAAGACGCTCATTAAAATACACCACATAATGGTGTGTGTGTGTGTGTGTGTGTGTGTGTGTGTGTGTGTGTGTGTGTGTGTGAGTTTGCTGGGTCAGCAGCCTCTTCTTCTCAAAGAGCAGAGGCACACACATCCAGTATAATGAGAGGACTGGCCTTTACCTATCGGATTGATGGATTGGTGACATTTTCAAACAGTAGCCGCCTGCTTGCTCTGCTCTAGCCTTCATGTTTCGTTAAAAAGCTCTGGTCTCTCACACATCTTCAAATCTTAATGCATCAAAACGATTTGATGGATGGCTTTTAGATGCTTACCTTTATTATGCCTACATTTTAATTCATGGAAGTGCTGAGATGAGAGCAACTTAATTAGAAAAAATGTGAAGAAGCCAAAATAATTTTTACTAATACGAGGCCAAACATGAAAAGTAAAACTTATTTTGATGAACAACCTACTTTTTTAACCATGTATTTAATATTAACCCATAAGGAACATAGATTGTGTATTTGGTATGCCCAGTTGGGAGAGTGGCCCACCTCTTTTAACCAATGCAAATAAACAGTGTGCAAGATGAACGAATAATGAAGGCCAAAACCACAATCAGTTAAAAAATGTCGCAGTATACCCACACGGCCAATTACAAGCAACAGATAAGTGATTAACAAAGAAAAACATGTCTGAGTCTTGTGGAATGACTCCAGTTCATATATTCCTATTTGAGTTGCCATTTTGAACTGATTAGCTGGCTAGTTAGCCTTCATCATTTAAGTAAACATAGATTTTATTGTGTATTTTTAGATAATTCGATTTATGACAATTCAGTTAACCGTGAAATCTGTGATAAATCTTTCATCCAGTAAATTGAGGATGAGCAATTTTGCCTCAGATTCAACTTAATCAGATTCACTCTACAGTTGGTAATGTTCTTAATGTAACAATTTCTGCTTGATTTCAGCCCACATCAGTGGCGTTGCCTGCTCAGTTGTTGGCTTGCGCTTTGGAGAAAGAACTTGTCGTCAACAGTCCACGTGCAATTCAGACCTCTGTGTTTACTGTTTAATCTACAGCGGAGGTTCCCAATTGGTAGACTGCTGTCCAGATATAAATTTAGACACAAATTAAATCTTATCCAGATTGGTTTTAAATGTCAATATTTGGTTCTGGTTATGACATAGCAGTAGAAGGCAGACTTCCTGCCTTTGATCCCATGAAAAATATTGCAGCCAAACGAAGAAAATCTTGACCAGGGCTCTTAAACTCCAGTCCCTGAGGGCTAGTGTCTGGCAACTATTAGATGTGTTTCTGCTTTAACACACCAGAATAAAATAATAATGTCAATAGCATTGGTTTTGTACAACTTGTTTGCATGCTGTGGAGGCAATTCGGCCTTTTGATTCAGTTGTGCTGGACCAGGGTGCATCTTAAAGATGCCGTACACCGGCCCTCAAGGACTAGATTTTTAGATCTTGATTTAATTAATTAAACATTCTACTGATATCATATTAATGATCATTGCATTTCTGTAAAACAAACTTGTGACTCTTATTTTGTCTTAAAAACAGTTTAATTTTATTTTTTTTTTATCAAGCACAATGTTAATTGAGTTATAGAATGAATTTCAACCTTATATTTATCTAAATCCAAGCGTTTTTCTCATCAAAAGCTCTTCCCATGACGATAAGATATGTGGTTTCAGATTGTGAAGCTCTGGCAGAAGGCCACATATCTTCTGATTAAACATCTGAAATGAGATGACAGAGAAAATGCTGATCCGAACAGTTTTTAAATATATCAAAGTAGAAGGACATGTTTTAAGTCAGAGTTTGTCTTCATAAAGTTCAACCACTTTTTTGCCATAAACTCATCAAGAACAACTTAAAATATTCCTTTTGCCAGTCTTTATAAATCTCTGCTTTGTTTGAGCTGTACCACAGCAACAAATAATGGTTCTGCTTGATAACAGATTAATATATTGTGAGTTAAAGTGTCCTTGAGGCTAAGATGGAGGCTCCTCCAAAGGTTTGCTGTGGGTAAGAACACCAGCTGAACTCCTAATTTGTTGTATTAACAGGTCGGCACACGGCATCAGTCACTGCACACGAGAACCCAGCTGTGAAATAATACTATCAGCACCTCATTAACTTGCAATTAGATTTTTTTTTCTTTAGGTTGGAGGCTTAATGATTAAGTGGGGAAACAATATTCCAAAGCAGATAACAGAAAGGAGAAGTTTCAGGAACCAGAAGAGTATCAGGATTTTATCTTAATGATCTAAAGTATTTTGTGAATCCTGATTGTATTTTTATTTATCTGCATCTTTACATTATTGTTTTATTTATACATTATACATAATATATATTATTATATTGTTTATACATTATATTCATAGCTTTTGAGCTACCCTTCAATATGTCTGTTTTTGGGGTAATGCGAGGTGCTTTTCCGCCTCTAAATATGGTGTGTGCAATCATACCCAGACTATGTTCTCTCAGTTTTTAATTGGTATGTCCAGATGTTCTGCAGCAAATTTATATGAGCTTCAACTGTCTATTCCACAGCCATGGAGTCTTGCTCAGTAGGAATATATAGGGGGCTGAGTTCATTACTTGTGGAAAAACTGTAACTGCTAATTTTAGGTCTTTCTGAAGCTCTCCAAGTGGTCCAATGCTCTTTGGCAGCTCGTCTGTTGATCATTTTGACTCCTGTGTCAGAAATCTTGATGTTCTTTCTACTTCAAGATTATGGCCCCACAGTGGTCAGTGGAAGATTTATAAAGTTTAAAACTATATCTGCAACCAGTGCCGTCAGGATGATTTGCAGCCAGAATTCAGCTGATGTCTTGGCTTTCTTTGCCTTTTTGCATAGAAAGCTAAAGTTCCTGAGTCATTATATTTATTACACAATCTATGAAATAAGGCATTAAACCTTTTGTATGTTTAGGTGATTTAGGTTGTTAATGATATATTACTTTAT